ATTGTTTTGATCACTGGTCTACTGTTTGAGGATCACATTTAGCATCTTTTAAACACAGGTGCAATGTAAACTCCTTTGGTATAGTATATTGTTTTCATGAGGTTATTTTCTTAGCAACTCAACCACTGCATCCTTGTACTCTTTAAGAACTCATGCATATCTGTCATCCAGCCCTGCTGACTCGTACCTTTTAAATTGCCCATTCCCTCCAGCACCTCCTCACTTAACACCTTGACCTCTCACATTGCTTCATCTTCACCTGAAAATTTAATTACCGTATTTGTTTCTCGCCACCAGCCTCTATGGAAAAGACTGAATCAAGGAAATTATTTAGTTTCTCTATATCCTTATCCTATGTAATTGCATTATTTTCTCCCTTGTAATGTGATAGAGTTCACTGGTTTTTCACAAATGCCTGATTTTTTTTTCCAAAGCCTTTCAGCCTACTTCTACTTCTGCATTGCACTGTAAGTTTATTAAATAGGCAGGGCATTCAACATACTGAAAAAGATAAAAATTCAGAATTTGGGTGTAGCTAGAAATGAGTTTTGTTTTTGGTATACTGAGCATCTTGTCATTACTTCTGAAAACTCTTCTCTCTTCCTGAATGTATTTCTGTGACCTCCACTATGATCACATTTGACCACTTTGTGATGTTCGTAAACCAGATGCCAGCTCTCACCACAGTTTTAGGCCTCATCAAGGCACCAACAAATTCATTGCTGGAAACAAGTCTTTTTCACTTGTATGTTAGTATGGCTAAGATTGGTATTGCACTTATAACAATGGGTATAGTGTTTAGCCATTAAGAAACACTTGTAGGTTGCTACATGCATTAATTTTACCTAAATATCTTTCTCACATTCCATAAGGTAATAAAGTTTGTGCTTTATAATTGTATAAAAAAAAAGTTTGCACCGAAATTAAGAATCAGTCAGAAGGGATCATTTCCAGCTCATTAAGAAGGCTATCAACACAAAATGGGCTGAAATTAGGAATCAGTCAGAAGAGATCATCTCCAGCTCATTAAGAAGGCTATCAACACAAAATGGGCCATTATGAGACATCACAATACAGAGACTTTGTTAATCATCCTTTCATACCATGAAGATATTATGTTCATTATGGCTCATCCCGTAATCTGGAGTTCTTGAAGAAGTAAATAAAGATGGTGAACAAAAAATAGTAGGATTTTCAGCTCAACTGCACAAGGTTACATTGTAACAGGATTTGATAAACAGAATAAAAGATGCTTCGAGGGGGTAGCCAAGTTAGTCTATTAAAGAAAAAAAAGTGCACTGGTAGCACTTTATAGACTAACAAAACATGTAGATGGTATCATGAGCTTTCACGGGCACAGCCCACTTCTTCAGATGAGTGGAGTTAATAAAAATAAAAGATGTTCCTTTTGCATTAACCTCTAGTAGGGCAAAAGAGAAGGAGGAAAAAAAACAGGTATTTTATTGCCTTTTGTGGTTGATGTCTACATGTTGAAATGGTGGGTGCAGCTCTCCCTTATGTACTGTCATAGAATCATAGAATACTAGGACTGGAAGGGACCTCGAGAGGTCATCGAGTCCAGTCCCCTGCTCTCATGGCAGGACCAAATACTGTCTAGACCATCCCTGATAGACATTTATCTAACCTACTCTTAAATATCTCCACAGATGGAGATTCTACAACCTCCCTGGGCAATTTATTCCAGTGTTTGTCTACCCTTAAGTTAGGAACTTAAGTCAGAGGCCAAGATGTCACAACCTGCAAAGTATCAGTAAAACCAAAGTTAGTCCAAGGGCTTGTCTGTACGTATGTTTAGTTTGCGGTAAACTTCAGTGTGACCCCCACACTCTTCTGCCATGGATTAACTATCCATGTGCACCCTGTCGACATGCATTAACAGTTTGCTAGAGCATTTTTTTTCTAGTCGAGTTTGACATGGAACTAGGTCAAAGTGCTCTAATGACTGGCTAGCACACAAAAGCAGGGTCCTCGTGCACAGCTAGTCTGCAGCAGACTATTGCATGGTCAATTCACACCCCAGCTTGTCGCAGATGAATTGTTTGTGTACACAAGCCCTTAGTGGAGTTTTTTATATTGAATTCACTGCTTCATTCTGTATTGTTTTACCCATTTTATTTTTAATCTCTTATCTCCCCCAATCCATTATTTCTTTACATTTAGTGTCACTTGTTTCATTAACAGAATAATCACTGATTTCAGTGAGGAGAAAGTTCATCTTTAAAAAGAAAAATCAATTATTCAATTTGATGTTTCCAGTTCAGGGTTTATGAGTGACAAGGTAAAGCTGGCACTTAGTGGTCAATGTATGAAACTAGCGGACTGACTCCCCTCGTATTTTTTTGAGCAACCCGCTGAATTAGCCTCATTGATTTAGAAATGAATATCAGAAAGAAACTTCCATCATTTTAAGCAAGAGTTAAACTGCCAAGCTAAAATACAACCTCTCACTAGTAAAACTAAATTAAAAGATACCAGAGCAATCCAGGGGAGTTAAGTAGATTCGAAGGGGAAAGAAAATATAGTCTGGGTTAAGTTTTATTAAGCTCCATCAGCAGCTGGACTCCACGTTTTCTTGATGGTTTTTTATCCTTACAATAAAGGAGATCCTCTAACTATAGAACAAGATTTATCACAGATGCCAAAACTATGAAAGGGGAATCATAATTTTTGACACTCCTTTCCCATTTTCTCCTTGTGCCCTCATATAAAAAAATATCCAGAAAAGTTTTATAAAGACTTAGTCGCTGCTTGTTGTACAGTTCAGGGTATATATAGCCAGGACTTGGTCCCAGAATGTACTAACAGCTTTCCACTGAGAGTTGTGGCATTGTTTTAGAGACTCTGGCCCCATAACTATGGTTTGCATTGTGCTACTTTCATATGTGATTTTATTATAAATGCTTCCTAATAGATGGTTGCTTAGACATCCTGATAACCAATCTCCTCACCATAGTTACAGTATGGAAAATATTTCATGTTCAAATTATGTGAAATATTGTCTCTTCTTATCTCTTGGATACATTATCCCTACAAATACTGAAAATACTGTAGCAAAGGTTTTATCTGGCCTAATTATCATGGACGGAGGAAAGAAAACCTTGCATAATTGCATTTTGTTCCTTATGAGCATTTAACTCATTTATGTGTCCACTGAAAAAAATGACCAAGAATGATGATTAGTTCATACTATTAGAAATTGACTTTAATAGAGACTGAACGGCTCAGAGGAGCATTAATAGGATATCCAATCTTTCACTTCGAGATCATTGATTCAAATCCAGTTTAGGTCAGTATTGCCTGAAAGGTTTTATAGACATGTATCTACACTAGGAACTAAAGCTGTGATTCTCTTGCTAGTGTACAAATACCCATGCTAGTTTCATTAAGCTAGCACAAGAATAAATAGATGTGTAGCCATGGTCACAAACATAATGGCAGCTGCACCATGCCAAGAATTTACCCACTAATTTCAAGTGGGTTTGCACTTCTCCATGGCTCAACCAGGTCTCTGCTGCCACCAGCCATGTTACCTCAATGATAGACACCCAGTTATTACTAGATGATGCTAAAGAGACGGAGAATCCATCACCACCTCTGATACCTTGTTCCAATGGTGAATGACTCCCACTTTAAAAAAACCACACATCTTGTTACTAATTTAAGTTGGTTTGGCTTCCACTTCCAGCCAGCAGTTCTTTTAAGCCTATTCCCACTAGATCAAAATCCCTTTAGTATTTTCTCTATGTAAAGATATTTATACACTGCCCTCAAATTGATAAGTTAAACAGACTGAGCTCTTTAAGGATATGGCTATTCTGTTGGTGAGTGAACCTTCCCAACCCAGGTAGACAAATTTGTACTAGCTGGACTTATGCTACCACACTAAAACTAGCTGTGTGGACATTGTGGCTCCAGGGGACACTCAGTCTAGCTACCTTAACTCAGATGCAGGTGGTAGGGTGGGTGTGAGCCTGCATGGCTAAGCCCAAGCCGCAGCTGCTGGTGCTGCCTCATGCACTAAGCTATTTATAGTTAAGTCCTTCTAGCACAAATCTGTCTAGCTGGGCTGGGAGGCTCATTCCAGGATGCAGAATAGACATACCTTATATCTCTCACTGTAAGGTGTTTTCTTCTGACTTCAAGTCCTTTTCATGGCACTTCTCTGCCTCTCTCCTGTTTTCCAACATCCCTTTTGAAGTGTGGACGCTATAACTAAAGGCACTATCCCAGCACTGCTCTGCTGTTACAGAGGTAAAGTCACCTCCTGCTTCTACTCACTGCTCCTTTACTTCCACATCCAAGGGTTGCATTAATACTTTTTGCCACAGTATTGCCCGAGGAGCTCATGTGCAGTTGCTTGTCCATTATGGCCCCTAAACGTTACTGCTTTCCAGGATACTGTCCATCATTCTTTGAGTGTCACCTGCATACCTGGTTCCGAGATGTATAACCTTGAATTTGACTGTGATAAAACACATTATTGGAATGGGCCCAGTCTATCAATGAGTCTAGATCAGTCTGTATAATTCTCTGTCCTCATTGTTATTTACCACGATGCCAATCTTTGACAGATTTCATCAGCAGTGATTTTCTGTTCACTTCCAGATCATTGATAAACATACTGAATAGGACTGGGCCTCGAAACAATCCCTATGAAGCCCCACTAGAAAGGATTCCTCATTGTCAACTGCTTTGTGAGTTCTGTTAGTTAGCTTGTTTGAAATCCACGTAAAGTGTGCTGTAGTGACATTGTGCAGTGCTAGACTTTTTTAATCAGAATGTTGTGTCGTACTAACTCAAATGATTTTACAAAAGTCCAAGAATACTACATCTATGCAGCCACCTTTATCAATCAAACTTGGAATCTCATCAGAAAAGGTTTGAAAGAACTATTTTCTACAAAACCTTGTTGGTTGGCATTAGTTATATTCCAGACCTGTAATTTGTTATTGATTGAAGCCCATCTCAGTGTTCCAGTTACTTTGCCTGGAATCTATGTCAAACTAATTGGCCTATAATTACTGGGGTCATCTGCCTTGTCATCTTTGAATACTGGAATAACATTTAGCACTCTTCCATTCTTCAGCAATTTCCCCACCATTCCAAGATTCATTAAATGTTAATGACAGTGGGCCAGGGATTTCCTTGGCTAATTCTTTTTGCGATCCTTAGGTACAAGATCTATTAAGCTGTTTATTTTTGGCAGCCTCCAGGAAATGAGCTTGAGGGTCCAAGTCCTGAAATGGACAGGAATCCATGTCAGAAAAAAACCTTTGTTTGTGCTAGTTTTCAGCAGCATCAGAGAAAAGGCCAAACACTGAATAGGCAGGGAATCTGGAGTGCCTTTCATTAGCAGAATAGCATCTTCATAACAGCTTAGGAGATAGCATGGGGAAGTTGGCACAGAACCTGCTCTTCTTGCACCTCTTCTGCCAATAAAAAATGGACTTTAGTTTACAGGGTTCTCTCCATCTAGCTCCTTTCCTCTGAATTAAATTCTCACTCCTACCCCCAAACTCAAGCTTTTAACTTGTTATAAATGATATAGTAGAATCCTGACACTGATAATCAACGAAATCGCAATATGCAGTGTTGTTGTAGCTATGTCAGTTCCAGGATATTGGAGAGACAAGGTGAGGGAGGCAATATATTTTATTGGATTAATTTCTGTTGGTGAAATGCAGAGACAAGCTTGTCTCTCTCACCAAAAGAAATTGGTTCAATAAAAAATATTACCTGACCCACAGCTTGTCTCTCTGAATAAATTGTAAAGCAGCTTAATCTGAGCATTTGAAGGTAGTGGGATAAATTAATGGCTGGCAAGAGCCAGCAAAGCTGCACGGAATTCAGTAGAGTTGCAACAGCTGTTGCTAACCATAGATGTAATATGCCTCTTATAGTATAGGAAATACACTAAGGGAGAGTCTGGAAGTGAAACAGCACAAGAAATACATTTTACCAAGAGCTCATTTGTGTTCTTTGGGCAAGGTGCAGTCCTAAGATGTTGCTGGACTGCATCAGTGGGAGGCATTCTGCCTCAGAGAAGCAGAGCACCTGCGGGACCTCACTGGAGTATAGTTTACTCTCTACCATACGTGACAGACATACCGCCTCCTATTTTTAGTCACTGTGTTCCCTTCTGGGAATAGAAGGTGAGCTCCTGACATCCCTTTTCCTGCCCATCCTTTATGCATAAAGGCCGGGCACAAACTGGCCTGCTAGAACATGATTCAGTGCCCACTGAAGTTAATGGGAGTTCCGCCATTGGCCTTACTAGTCTTTGGCTCACACCTTAAAAGATTAATTCATTGATGGATATAGAAACCGCATGAGCAGACCTTGGATAATTTCATTTGTGCCTGGTACCATGGAAACCCCAACCAAACAAGGCTACCTGCTGAATTTACCAGAATTCATCATCATTTACTAATCATACCCTAAGGACAGGAACAGTGATTCTAGCAGTTTTTGAAATTAAGCCTTTGAGACCAAATTGTGCTCACCTTACTCATCTGAGAAGTCCCACTGCCTTTGATCCATGTTCATATTCAATACCCAAGTCAACCAATTAGGAACAGAAAAGATTTTTTTTAAACTAGGTTGCTAGTTACAAAATTGCAGTTATACCTTGGAGATCAAAACAGAATGTTCTCTATTGTACCTGACTCCCACAGTGTCAAAACATTTGTTATCTTAAGGACAGCATCTGTCAACCTTACCTCCAGTGAGTAGCAGATTCAGGGTGGTCCCAGTGGCTTCAAACTGGCATCAGTGGGAATCAGTACAGAACTACAATGAGTTGTAATGCTGAAGTATTACGAATACAAGAAAACTCTGAGTGGTGCTGAGAAACATGCATCAGTCTTTATTGAGTGTGGGCCTGATCTTGTAGTGATCTTACAGGTAAAACTCCCCAATACATTATAATGTGATAAAAAAGATTTTCTAATCAAAGTTATACATCTAATTACGTACAGAAGTTAATCACCATTTTTTTTCCAGAAGCATTTTAAAAATACTAGAGATCTTGCTTTCACTATTCTTTCCTACATCAGCCAGTCCCTTACTACACAACTAGTCCCACCGATTTTAGTGGACTTACTACTCAATGGCAGAACTGGATCCCATCATAAATGAATCATTAAGAATGAAGAGAAAAGCTGCTATCTTGATAATGTGCTTATATGCTCCAAGACACAGATATGGCCACTGAGAGTATGAAAGACTCAAGGAAGTGGGAGATGTGGAATTTGTGAGTGATAACAGTATCTAAGGTGATAGAAGTAATTACAGCAAGTTTTCATTAGAAAGCTGCATGTAAATTTCAGGGTGTGACTACCATCCATATTTGTGCTACCAATTGAACAGCACTTTTGCCTCCGCCCTAGGAAGTCCTTATTTCATGTCCTCTAGGGAAGGATCTCTATAATACTGCATCTGCTGACAGGTGAGTGTGGGAGAAAGTGTCTGTGTGTCAGAGCACGCATCAATATTATCTTCCATATCTTGTGCCAGGTCTTCTGGGAAGACACACACTGAACAGAAATTAAAGGTGCAGTGGAAATTTCCAAAGCAAGAAAAAGATTTCTGCAGCATTTCCTCACCTTCGTTTAGTCCCAGCACCGATCAATGGACTCGATGGTTTCTCTAATTCCCTGCAGTCATTACTTTACAGGTGAGTAATTTATGGCTTTGTAAAGGGCTCTGGGATGTTTGATTATGTCAAAGGTGTTATTGAAGTTCAGATTCTAGTTGTATCCTAAATAGGATGAGATTACCAGTGGGATTTACATCATTACTTTCCCTAATTATTTACAACACTGTGCCAATCACACTGCAGGCAAACTCACAGCAAAAAAGAGATGGTTCTGCATAGGGGAACACAAGTGACATTAGGTAATAAGCTATGCAAACTAGTGCATGGCATTGACCTCCACAGGACAAGTAATAATAGGGCTTTCAAGTTCAAGGAAATCTGGAGTGCAAAGCAAAGCCACAAGACTGAACCCCAAACTTCCCAACTATCATCCTGAGCTAGATTATTTTGCAGTCTCAGCTGAATGTGGGGTAGAGGAGTCCAATGCCACATCAGTAGGCTATGAGTCTAATTCCCTAACTAGTGTGAATGTCTGAGGAGGGACTCAAGGGAACAGTAGAGGGAGGACTCTTGTTAAACAGGCAGTGACCAGAACCTGTAATGCAGCCTTGACAAGGACCTTGACAAGGAAGTGATAAATAGGGAGATAAGACAGGCTTATTCTCCAAAGGAGTCAAGCTCTTATCCCTACAGTACAGAAAATCATCTATACCACACTATGTTAGTTTTCAACATGTCCATGACACTACACCCCAAGTTCTTCACAATGCTCTGATTATGCCATAATTATTACACATTGGCTACATCTACACTGGCATGATTTTCCGGAAATGCTTTTAACGGAAAAGTTTTCCGTTAAAAGCATTTTCGGAAAAGAGCATCTAGATTGGCACGGATGCTTTTCCGCAAAAACACTTTTTGCGGAAAAGCGTCCGTGCCAATCTAGACGCACTTTTGCGCAAAAAAGCCCCGATCGCCATTTTAGCCATCGGGACTTTTTTGCGCAAAACAGTACTGTGCTGTCTACACTGGCCCTCTTGCGCAAATGATATGCACAAGAGGGCTTTTGCCCGAATGGGAGCAGTACAGTATTTCCACAAGAACACTGATGACCTTACATGAGATTCAAGCAGCCAGTGTAGACAGCTGGCAAGTTTTTCCGCAAAAGCAGATGATTTTGCGGAAAAACTTGCCAGTCTAGACACAGCCACCGTGTACAGGATGGGTCACCTGAAGTGTCATTGGAAAAGCTTTGATTTTCTGAATCTGATTATTCTACTTGTAAGCATATATCATTTTTGGACCTAAAGATATAAATATTCTCTGTGTATATGCATTTCAAATGTGCTTATTCTGGGTGAAACCCACATTTAGCCTTTCAGGTACAACAATAAAGAAGCTAGACAGCACCCTGGAAGAGGTTAAACTTCCTGTAAATGTTCCATTCAGCCTACAAGTAATGGACGCTGCAACTCAGCAAGTTATGCAAGAACATGTGACCAGGGCTCCATCTTGAGTTGTCAGTATTTTCCCACAAACTGGTCTGGAAACCAAGTTTTGAAACAGAGGGTTCCCACGCTATGCTAAAGCCGCATAAGGCAGAGAGTGACATCATCGGCAGGTTTCACGCCCCACTCAAGAAGACTCCTAAAAATACCTAAGGAACAAAACACTCAGCTGAAGGAAGTGCTGGACCCAGCCTAAAGGGAATTTTAGCCTATGTATGAAAACCTGGGGAGCCCACTGCATCCTAGAAGATTAGGACTAGAAAAGAACTCAGGAGGTCATCTAGTTCAACCCCCTGCTAAAAGCAGGACCAACCCCAACTAAATCATTCCAGCCAGGGCTTTGTCAAGACTGGTCTTAATAACCTCTATGGATGGAGATACCACCACTTTCCTAAGTAACCCATTCTAGTATTTCACCACTCTCTTAGTGAAATAGCTTTTCCTAATATCCAACCTCTCCCACTGCAACTTGAGGGGCTGGGGCTGGATAATAAATTCACACTTGTTGGGTTTTGACCAGAGCAGGACTGTACAGGTCCTGGGCTAGGAAGCTGGTGATTGTTTTTGCTGTAGCCTCTCTATTCTTGGTTCATGCAGTAGGTGGTCAGCTGCCACTGTGTGAAAGCTGATGGAAGGGCAGGACCAGAAGTAGGTCACTGCAACTTGTTACAGTAACTCAGTGTGAAAGTGTAACCCACACACCTAGTGCAGTTCACTGTCCCATGGAGTGGCACTTAGATCGCTTACAGTGAGAGTTAAGAACAAGGGTGCTCTAAAGCCTAAGCTAAGAGCCAGCAGGCTTCATAACTCAAGCTACAGAGGCCCCTACACTACGCTCCAGAGGTCCCAATTTTAAATCTCCCTGGTGATGGTTACAAAAGGGAGCCCAAACTGATTAGTCAGAGCTCAGTAGTACCCCAGTTCCAGCCCCCACCCCTAGAGTGGGGAAATCCATCACAACCACCATGGTGGGGAGCAGCTTACTGAAATGACATGCTCGACAGCATGGCCACTCACACAATCGCTTGAGAACACTTTTTCGTCAGAGTTCCATGATAGTATTTTCACTCATTCAGATGAGTAATGTGACAGACACTGCAGCTGCATGCAATGCCTTTACATATGTAGTGTA